GGGGGGGAAGATAATATACTTACCGCAGCCTCCACCTGCGGCGCCTCAGTGGGGGATGACGACACCATTTTTTTCCCCATCTTTCTGATGTGTTTGCAGGAATAAATTAGGGATGCACAGATACTTTTTGAGTACCCGTGCAGATACTTGGCATTTTCATGAGAACTACAAGGGTTGCAGCGGTTGCAGCTGGGACCTGGCTCTGGCACTCCACCACTGTCCTGAAATCATTAGTCTGTATTATTTTAGAAAAACTGTCACATGACAATAAACAAAAATGTGTCAGTACTCGTACTTGTAAGTACTCGGCAAGTACCAGTACTCGTACTCGCCAAACTGGTATCTGTGGATCCCTTTATTTATATTTATAAAAACAAAATCGTACATTAAAACAGAGATGTACAAATCCCAGGAGCTCCGTGTGCTCCTTACAAATGACAGCTGCCTCCTAATTTTTGCATTTTTCTCTAGTGTAGTCTTGGAGCTCAAAAGTATCGGTACATGTACTCGTACTTGTACCGAGTACTGTACTTGGTATCTGTGCAACCCTAGAATAAATAAATATGGATCTCTCCAAGGAATCTTGGGATTCCGCCATCTTTCAATTGTTCAAGTATTTACAAAGGGTATCCACGTGAGAGAAATTTCACTTTCAACCTTTGTAGAACACAGGGCTGTTCTGAATATATGAGTAACACCCTCTGGGATTGTGAGGCCATGGATGAAATGTATGGGTTGTGCAATGTCATGTATAACGAAGTCTCACGTAGGTGACCATTAAACTTAAGTATGACATCAAAAAATGTTTTGCTGGAATAAGGGAGACCAGTGTTTCCCAATTGTTTGACTAGGTGGGAGGCATATGGGCAGCCCACTTTCTGATGAACAAAAATCCAAGGTATTGGCTTTAGCACCTGTCTCTTTAATGGCATGCACTATGGAAGAGATGATTTATAAATTGTTCACCCGTTGGTATCTTTCTCCATCCAGAATGCATACTATGTGTTACGATCTTTCCCCTTTGTGCTGGATGGGATGTGGACAAATACCCTAGTGCACATCTGGTTGACTTGCCGCACTATACAGGGATAGGATATTGGGGTCAGGTGAAGATTTATGTTGAAAAAATTATGGGTTCTACTATAGAGAATGACCCGTGGTCTGTTATTCCATTGCACTGCAGAATCCACAGATATAAACGTTCACTGACTCCTCACCTACTCAATGCTGTGAAAGCTTTGATACCACTGTTTTGGAAGAAGGTCTTTATCCCCCACTTACACCCGTGGTTTGAAAAAATGGATGGCATCTGTAACATGGAAGAGATGGTTCTCTCATCTAAAGCCAATACGGACAATTTTATAAAGTATGGGCATGTTGGTTGGAATTTAAGACACGTGCCGATTATGCTTTGGTGATGTCCTCGGCATCTCAACAATGATCTCATGTTGTTGAGGTACATAGTTTTAGGGAGGTTTCTTTTGGGGGGGGGGGGTCCTCCTCCTCTGTGTTTTCTCACTTTTCATCACTTGTCTATGTATATTGTAACTTTCCATCTGCTTTTTCTTTGAATTTACATGTGATTTCTTATGGGTCTATTTATGCAGGCGCAATTACTTCCATATGCTTTTTACCTGCTAAATATGTGTTGCCTGACTGATTTTATGTATTCATTCCTTATTGTAACACTATTAAGCTGTGTCTACTTGACCAATGTATGTGATTTCTGTTTTGGACATTTTTTTGCACAAACTTTTTTTAAAAAAAGTTTGTGCAAAACCCCCCAAAAAACTATGACGAAAATGATGCAGGTGTATGAAAGGTCTCAGGGTTAAACACAATATCAGGGAAATATAATTTAGGAAAGTGACGAATTCAGAACACTATATTCTCCTGCCCTGTAATCTATTAAATTCATGGGGACTATTTCTCCACCCTTGTCTACTGGCTTAATGATATCTTAGCCTTGTTGTTGGGGTTTTAGGCCCCACTCACACCAAAATCGCAAGGTAATTGCAGCTCAACAGAGGGTCCGTTGCCTTGCGATTGTACATTTCTGTGTGATCCGATGCGATTATTAGGCTTTTGGGGTTTTCTTCTTTGTTTGGTAAAAATGTATGTGAAGTGACATATCCAGAGTGGACATACTTCACTAAAGCTTGCGATGCGTTGTATCGTATTAGCACACATTTTTGCATCGTTGTGCTAAAAAAAAGTAGAACATGCTCTACTTTTTTTTTCTGGGCAACGGACATCATTGCAACACAATGCACCGATGTGAACTGTCCCATTCACACCATTTCACGGATTCAGAGTAAAAGGGTCCTTAGGGTTAAATATTCCTTTCAAAACAGATTGAAATAATGTCTCTGTTTGTGTGCACTAGAGACAACATCATGTCTAGTAATTTTAATAAAATTCTGGAATAAAATAAGTGGAATTGTTCCAGGGAGATGGAAGTGGTAGTTTGGTAGTAGCACATTTTGTTTAAGCTTCCTATTCCTCTCTTATCTAATGAAAGTGTGACATGTAAATATATTCAAGTACATAGTTGGTTAATAAGATAGTCTTTTAGAAAGAAGTGATGGCTGAGAGTACTTGCTGATACATTAATTCCTGGGTTGCTTTGTAGGTTCCTAACTTGTTGATTCTAGGTTCATTGTTGGTTCATTTCTTAATGATGTTGGGTTTTATTTGTTTTGTTACTGGTCTATAGTATTTTGACCAGAGACACCAGTTTGGTGTATGTCCTGTGTAGTTCCTGTGTCACTTTCAGATGGTGGCTATTGCTTAGGTCTGTTGCTTTCAGATGAAGCTGAAGTGATATCTCCAGGTTTCTTCTAAGGTCAAATACGAGAGATGTTTTTCAGATACAAACGGCACGATTTAGTAATAGAATGAATGTTAGGGGAAAAGGAGAGGTCAGAGTCAAAAAGCACACCAAGGCAGCATACCTGCAGAGTAGAGCAAATGGTAACTCCATCAACCTGACGAGAGATATGCATGGGGGTAACTTTAGAGTGAGGAAACACGGGGAGTTCAGTCTTAGAGAGGTTCAGTTTGAGGAAGTGGGTACTCTTCCATTTTGAAACAGCAGATAGGCAACCAGTTACACAAGCCAACAGATTGGGGGAAAGATCCGGTGAGGAGAGGTAGATCTGAGTATCATCAGCATAAAGGTGGTAATGAAAGCCGTATGATGAGATAAGGTTACCTAGAGAGGCAGTGTAGCATGAGAATAGAAGAGGACCCAGTACAGAACTTTTGGGTCTCCGACAGAGACAGGTACAGAGGGGGAGGTGGAGCCAGAGAAGGAAATGCTGAAAGAACGGTTGGATAGATAGGAAGAGTACCAGGCGAGGGCAGTGTCATTGATGCCAAGGTTGTAGAGGGTGAGTAGGAGCAGTGGGTGGTCAATAGTGTCAAAAGCAGCAGAAAGGTCAAGAAGAATAAGAAGTGAATAATGTCCTTTAAATTTGGCTGTCACAAGGTCGTTAGTAACTTTGGTCAAGGCAGTCTCTGTAGATTGTAGAGGGTCAAGTAGGGAGTTGGAGTTCAGGTAGTCTGTGAGTCGGGTATACACCAGTCTTTCAAGGAGTTTGGAGGCAAAGGGAAGAAGAGAGATGGGGTGATAGCTAGATAAAGCTTCAGGGTCAAGAGACTGTTTCATTGGTATGGGTGTGATGAGGGCGTGTATGAAGGAAGATTAAAAGATGCCGGAGGTAAGAGAAGGATTGAAGATTTTGGTAAGAGAAGAGACAGTCACAGAAGAGAGAGGATGGATAAGGTGTGATGGAATGGTGTCAAGGGGAAAGATGGTAAAGAAGAGGGGAGGGGAAGAGCAGAAACCTCTACTTCAAAAACTTGGGAGAAGGCACTAAGGGAAAGAGGAGGAGGCTGGGCACAGGGCAGGTTGGGTAAGGGAGGGAGTAAAGGAGGCAATTTTATGTCGGATGTTGTTAATCTTTTCTGTGAAAAATTATACTAAATTTGTAGCAACGAGATTAGTAGAGGGGGTAGGGGAAGAAGGGCGCATTAGTGAATTAAAGGTTTGAAATATGCTCTTGAAGTCATGAGAGAAGGTGGAGATAAGGGAGGCAAAGTACTGTATGTCTGCTTGGCTAGGGCAAGAGCAAGAATGTAGGACTATAGCATGAATTTGTAGTGTAGGAAGTCAGAAGTAGTGTGCGACTTCCTGCAACACTGATTTGTCTCAATTTGATAGCAGGGCCATTGTCGATAGCTGACTTCACCAACAATGTGCTTTAAAGCACTCCAATCTCACGGTTCATTTGCCTCAATTGTGTTTTTACTTCCTTTATGGGGATTAGCATGTAGTTGAGTGAGTTTCTAGTACAGACCTCACACCACTTTACAAAGAACTCCCTTTTGTGGTGACCAATCGTAGGGTGGTTCATTATTCTAAAATCCTTTGGCATTTTTCATTTGCTGTAATATTAACACTTTGTCCATGGAGCTCTAAATCCACCTTGTTTCTGTAATCTCTTGGATTTCCTTAAAAGATCAAATGGGGTGTCAGTCCCAAATGCTTTGTCTGTATAAGGAGGAAATAGAATCACATTATAGGGATTCTATTTCCTTCACATTGGGCCGCAATGTTTACATTGCTTTATCTTAATATTGTTGTTGTTCAAATTTATTTTTGTAACTTTATTCTGTCTTTAACATTTAAAAGTGTAATTTTATAAGATAATTTAAGAGGGTGGGTTTAGGGGCGGAGTTAAGGCCGAGGCAGGTTTGGGGTTAGGTGGGGCAACTGGTGGCGAGTAACTCTTAAGGCCTGGCTAGTAGCTCAGGACTTGAAATTTTGAGCCCTGGGCTACTGTATATATTCAGACCCTGTGCCTCACAGCAGCATTGATTGTTACTGTGCTCTGCAACCGACAGCATCCTAACAACCAATGCTGCTGTATCCAGTATGGTCACCCTGGCCTTAGTGCTGTCCCCAACATGCTTCCATACAACAAATTCCTGTACATGTGTCCGACATGTACATCTATCTGTCCCAAGTGGCAACATTTGTAGCATGAACGGGAGACCATTTTATTATGAGTGTCTACTGCACTCTTTAAGAATTCCAGGGACTCTCTAGCAATCAATAAATATTGACCTGACAGATTTTTTTTAACTGCATACAGAATATCATACAGAGTTCCAGCATCAAAGATGTTAAATATATTATGTAACAGTCTGCTGTGCTTCTCCAAAACAGAGATTTATTGGTTTCCACACTGTACAGCATTTCCTGCTGTAAACTGGTAAATCTCTGTCTTTGCTTCAATACATCATGGCAGAACTAACAAATCAATGCACAGTGTACCTGAAGTAAATCAATATAAAAGAAATCCCACCGTCAGTACCAGCTTCGCCCTATTGGTGGCAGCAGCACAACTCCATTGAATAATCAGCATCAGTGGAATGGTGTGGAACAGAAGCGTACTTTTTACTCAGCTTAGTGAGATTTCTTAACGAAATCGATCCTGTGATTGCTCTCAAACTTGGTTGTCACCTTTACCTTGTAGTCAAACTTGATAAATGGTGTGCAACATATTAAAACTTGATGAGTTTGTTGATCATTTAACTGGCTAATGTTGCATGAGATTATTGCTACCTGCTAAGTGATTTATAGATCTGTGAATAATTATGCTGACTGATCAAAGTGACTTACAAATGATGTTTGTTGCATATGACAAAACATCCTCTGATCCTGTATTTGACAAATCTGATTGGGTGTGAGGATGGGGAGCCCTTTGTTGTTTCCTGTTGTTCTCAGACTTATATAGCGGATAATCTATTAAAGGTGTACATTTTAAACTCACCCAAGGAACTTAAAGTTTATATTACCCCCAATATTTCATTTTTTCCCTATAAGTCTTTTTCCATGTACATGTTAGTAAATATACCATGTTCTCGTTTTGTGTCTTTGTTTGCTGTCAGATATCTGATGACCCTGCCAGTCTCCCTTCTTTGCTTTTGCAAACTGACCATGACAAGCACAGAAGCAGATGTGTATAGCACGGTCAGTTTGCGTATCAGAGCGTCCTTCTTGAAGATACAGGATAGGTGTCTTGCTGCACTCCTTACCGGATCTCCCATACCATCAAAGTGGGTGCTTGTAGTGACTGCGGATGGCACGGCAAACAGCAGACTCGATAAAGACGTCACCACCACACCAGGATTATGTGTCAATGCAATGATATAATTTCTGAGCCTGATGACATGGACCCTGCATGTCCCCGAAAGCGCTTGTACTGAATGACAACATGTGTCAATAAATGGATCTGATTTTCCATTGATACATAATCCTGGTGTGCCGGTGATGTCTTTATCGAGTCTTCCTGGAGATACAGGAGGCCGCGGTGATGCACGGTGTGCCTGTATCTCCTGTAGTCAGCATGGCCACTACTCACGATTCCCCACCAAGCTTTTTGCAACAGCAGCCTTTAGGGTTTATTCAGATGGATGTGCACGCTTGTAAAAATACCTGATCCAAGAAGGTACAGGTGCTGCGTGTATTTGCGTTCTTCTTGTTCTTCCCTATGGGAGGACAGGGTTGCACACAATTACATTCCGTCACACGCACACCTGAACCTAAACATAGGTGCAGGTCCAGGTGCCTGCACTTGGACACACACTGTCTGCGGCCAAGTGGGGGTACCTGAACCCGCATGGATGTACAGGTTCAGGTGTACGTGTGACCGTGTGTCTTTTTATGGGCATGCGTGCCGTATTGATGTGCTTGCCTGTCTGAATGAGTTCAGTTAACACAGATGGGAAATGTACTTCCTGCTGAGTGAGGTAATGCTCGTTGCTTGCTCTAGAGTCATGCCCCCTGCTACGAGGAAGAAAGTTGCGAGGGAGGCTGTTACATGACTGCTGAAAAAAGCATAAAAATAAAGTACAATTTATTATAGGGAACAAATTACATTTGCTGTCCTTCTATTGTGTTTCAGAGCCCTGTGTTTACAAATACGAACAGAAATATGTAGCTTGTCTGAGTAATTATCAAGGCTGGTGGCTTAGTATAATAACAACAGCACTGTGCTATGTGAATGTATAATAAGCTGCTGTGCCGAAAAAATTGTGAAAACAACATTCCCAATATCGTGAATCAAGTGACGCTGCGCTAAAATAAATGAAAATAAAAAACTCCTTTGTGTTTGGTTTTTATTCATCCATTAAATGTTAGCATGTGTGTGCATCCCTCCTCCTAGATCCCAAATAACTATACAGGGTGATTCACAAAAGGGTGAGGAGTTTGGGGAAGGCAGGAGAAGTGAACGATCTAGGACAACATAGCTGATTTGGAAAAATTCTCCAATTCAGCTCACTTTCCAGCTCAGCTATGTTGTCCTAGTTTGCTCACTTCTCCTGCCTTCTCCAAACTCTTCACCCTTTTGTGAATCACCCTGTATAGTTATTTGGGATCTAGGAGGAGGGATGCACACACATGCTAACATTTAATGGATGAATGAAAAACAAATAAAAGGCGTTTTTTATTTCCATTTATTTTAGCGCAGTGTCACTTGATTCACGATAGTGGCTTAGTATGACTGCCAGACGGCTAGCATATTCATGAGAGGGCCATAATGGCAGCCTTTGTAATTTTCTCTCAGTATGTTTCTATTAAGCCTAGACAGTTTAGCGTACATTTCAGTGTAGGGGTGAAAGGGTCATATAGTTTCCCTTTCACAGTAAACTGCAGTGCAGAAATGTGTACTATCTACATGCAGCAAAATGCATGGGTTTGCTGAATAGGAACAAAATGACTAGGCCCTAAAACATCAAGACACAAACATTTAAAAAAAAAAAATCTGGTCCCCTCCCCTGCCAGGCAGCACTGTGCTGTGTGGGTGGCAGAGTTGTGTAACTCTCAGGACTGGATGGGCAGAAATACAAATTATTTTGGCAGTTAACACATCTCATATGTATTTTGCTGTTGGCCTGGAGTGCAGCTTTAACTGCACTAAAAAGCATACACATCCCTATTAAAGATTACAAGTTCTTATGTTTACTCGACTTAACTCTACGAAGGTGAGAGAAGATGAATTCTGTCTGCTTGCTATAGATTACTGCACTTAAAGCAGAACTCCAGAGAAAAAAAATATTATTATGGGGCTGCGCTGCAAGGGTTAACTGCTCGTTTTGGTCTAGGGATGAAAATAAAGTTATATTCACCATATCCTCTGAGCCGCCGGCTGTGACTGTCCTCCTTCCAGTCTGTCTCCTCCTACGCCGCAGCATTGGAATGTCCCTCGATGTCCTCATGTCCTATACACTGTGTACAGAATGTGATGATTTACAGCACCTTAAACTGCTGCAGCAGAGGGGGTTAGAGGCTCCAGGGACCGGTCTAGAGGTGGCCATACACTTTACAACCCTCGTTGTAAAGTACTTAAAAAAACGTACGATCTGCCCATCTTGGACAGGCACATCGTACTTGCGATCATCGCAAGCCCGCCCCCCTGAGGGGCGGGCTTACGATGACTGCAATGAGGGGCGGGCTTATGATGACTGCAAACGGGCAGTGTGCGCGTGCGCACACCGGCCCGTTCGGCAGTTGTCGAACAAGCAGGCCACTAACTCACCGAGAATCGTACGATTCCCGGCAGGTTTTACAGCCTGCTTCTTCGACCGAAGACGTGCGACCGTACAGTAGAAACGGTCGCACGCCTTCCATACACTGCACGATTTTCGTACGATCGCGGGATTTCCCGCGATTCTCGTACGAGAATCGTGTAGTGTATGGGCACCGTAAGAGCAAGCCGGCTCAGAGGATCAGGTGAGTACAAGTATT